AACCCTAAACCCTATAATATAATAGCTTCCAGTTTATTTTCCATTCTCCCAAAATAACCCCAATATAACACCCTAAACCCGAAACCCCGAGCAAGGGGCATCCTTGTACGGTGGGCCTGGCTTTGTCATCCTCCTCCTCACCTGATCAGAGGAGATTCCTTTAAGGGGTCTAGGGGTTTAGAGTTCTAGAGGTTTGAAGGGTTTAGGGCTTGGGGGTCTACGGGGTTAGAGTTTTAGGGTTTTAGAGTCCAGGGTTTAGGGTTTCAGGCTGGATTTAGAGGTCTAGGGTTTTGGGTTCAATTCCTAAACAAGAGCGCCAATAGGGTTTTGGGTTCTGGGTTCAATTCCTAAACAAGGGCGCCGATACGGGTACCTCTTTGACTCGGATGTGGGAATTGGCTTAAACTCATTCAGAAAGGGGCGAGATTCATATCGGGGACCTTTATTATAAGGCGAACCCCACTGTAGGGGCCCGTATTGAAGCAACTTTAGGGAACTTCCATGTGAGCTATAGTCTAAACTCCTAGTATCCCCCTTAATGACCCCTATAGTAGTCCCCTATATAATCCCCTATATAACCCCCTTTAAGGAGTTTAGATCATGGCTCATGTAGGGTTTAGGGTAAGGGCTTGTGGCTTGGAGGTGAGAAGCCCTAAGCCCTAAACCGAGGAAGGCCTCATTCCATGATCTCCGCATGTACTTGCCAGCTATATGAGCTATCGCCGAAGCTCCTTTAGATGGGCTTATATAAGGGAATATATGGGGGAGTATTGGGGGCCTTTATCGAGGATGCTAGGAGCTTAGACCATAGCTCATATATGATGCTTAAACAAGTGCCTCTACCTTTGGAGTACTTCCTTTGAGGTCCTAGGTATTTCTATGTAATACATACACAAGTACCTTGAGTTGCTGCAGAAAAACATGCAAAGGTTCTTCGAATTCCTACATACTACATACAAGTGTATCCCAAACCCTAAACCCTAAATTCATGAAACAGCCCAACCAAGAGGCCTCCAGCAATGAACCGCGCCAGCCCCTGACCAGCAGTTGCATGGATATTTAGGATTATATAAGGGGTTGTGTAGGGTTTAGGGCTTTGGGCTTCTCAAACTTGAAGGGCTCCTTTTCGGTGAGTACCTATCATAAAGAGTATAATATTTTGAAATCAGGGTCCCTCCATTTATGGAAACATATGCAGTTGGGGTTTGGGGTTCAGGTATGGATGTCGTGAAATCATCGTGGGTTTCCTTCCTCTTTGGGGTATGGAGGATCAGAACTATTGCGCTAGGGGGTGGGTATATAGGTGGAACCTACACTCGATGGAGTGTTCAATGTGTCCTATTCCTGAGTCAGGATCTTAAACCCTAAACAAACTGAATCATGTTGCTGTTTGCCAGCCCTGTACAAGCTGCAGCGCTACAGTGGACGGGATGCGCTGTGGGCCTGGACATCCAAGCAGGCAGCTCGGGCAGGACGGCAGTTCAGATGCTGCGTGTTCACCACATCGGGTAGCCTCGAACACAGAGATTGTCAGGACTGAGACTCCCCGAGTCTAAGCATAGCCAAAAGGAGGTTAAAATCTTACTCTATACGGGTACCATAGTATCCCCAAATAAAATACTATTCAGCTGAGCTGTTGCGTTTGGACGCCTCGTTTTGCTGCCCAAGGTGCACGGCGCTTGGCCTGGGAACACGCATGAAGGCCAAAGGACCATCCTGGGCATCAGTCTAGTCGCAAAAGCACGGCGCCCTTGCCCTAAACCCTAAATAGTGGTTTCCATTTTATTTTCCATTATCCCTATATAACCCCAATATAACCCTAGACCCTAAACCCTATAGAAACCCATTATAGTAGTTTCCATTTTATTTTTCCATTATCCCAATATAACCCCAATGTAACCTGTCTGCTCCCGGCCTTGTGCCTCAGCTTGTGTTCGTATGCCTGCAAGCACGACCCCTGAGGGTCCAAGGGCCCAAATAATAGGGCTTTAGGGCCCCAATACTATAAGAATTAATGGTATTTGGATTTGGGTCCTTGGACGGACTTAGAAGGGCACGAGATCCTTGATTCCAACTGCTAGTTTTACCACGGCACGTCTAAATGACAGTCTGCACCTCTTTCGACTTTCAAACCCCTCAAACGCCACAATCCTGCATGGCAACATCTAGTATAATAATAGCAACAAAAGGTATTTGTAATAATCGAAATCATGGTAATAATGATAACGACAGCAATGCGAATCATGTAGCCCTGAGTCCCAGCCAGACCATATAGGTGTTCGCAAAATTTGGGGTCCTTTTATTGAAGTTTTTATGGGGGTCTATATTGGGGCCCCCGACCCTCCTACGCATGCAAATCCCCATGTCCTGATCCTAAACCCTAAACCCTAAATTGTAAACCCTCAACCCTAAATCCTAAACAATACTGTGGTGAGCTATCGCCTTGTAGACTTTGGAGGCCACCCCGCTCAACATCACGGGCTTGGCTTCCTGAATGGCCCTGCCCGGAATGCAAGGTTTGGGGTTTAGGGTTTGAGGGTTTAAGGGCTTAGGGCTTGAGAGTTTCTTCTTCTTGGATCTGCAAACGATATCTGGGGTATTCTCGAAACCGAAACAGGAACACTAAAGGCATCATAAAATCCTAAAGCATGCGGCTATGTAGCAGCTTCCCAAAGTCTCCAAAGCATGATCCATTTTTGAGGCCCTGACAAGTACACGGACTAAACCCTCAAACTTGTTGGGAGGTTCAGGGTAACTCCAACCCAAATATCTGTTACCTACCACCCAGTTACAATCATTACAGGGGACTTAGGGGGCTTAGAACTGGGTTATACATACAAGTCTGATTCTTTACTTACCCTGAATCTTCAAGTAGGCCCTCAACCCTGAGCCTAAGCACCAAAGCCTATAGTCCCCCTTAAATAGATAGAATATGGAGTATGTGGGGATCACATTATAATATACCCAAAGCCATATTCTATCTGATTAAGGGGGACAATAAACATTGGTTCCCTTGAAGCAGGTTACTATGCTTATCCCTTACTAGGCTTAGTAGGATAAGAACCCATAACAGTTCAAACAATTCCCAGTACCCTGCGCCAACCTAACACTGACCCCCGAAAGGGGCCCTACATAGGCGACGTTTCGTTTAAAGCCATATTGCCTTAGTATAGCTTTCGAAAAATATATGCAGCAATGACCTACAAATCGTATTCTTGTTTGGGTTTTTGTATAACGCATTTGGAAAAATTCTCAACAATGACCCAGTACCTTCCCGAAGACACTCACTAGAAGCCTATCTAAAGAATCGTGTCCAACAACCACCCAGTAAACCCTTAGACCCCGCCCTAAACCCTAAACCCCTAACCCTAAACCCTGCCTGTCAGAGTCACCCCGGGCTGCCAGACCGTGGGGTCTGCAGGTGATGATGGCGGGGCGCAGCTGAAGCAGCTGCTTGAACTTCGGCATCACCTTGAAAGGGGTATACAAGGATCTTCAACAAGATATTGTATAGGCACATATCATAATAGGATGGTTTGGGCTGGGGTATATAGGGATATATAAGGACATATCATAGGGTGTAGGGTCTGTAGGCTTGGAGGCCAAGAGCAAAGGGAGGGTATAGGGTTTAGGCTAGGTGTACATAGGGATGTATGTGGACATACCATAGGAGAATACAGGGATCATGTGGGGGTCTATTGGGACATACAGGATACAGGGCTGAGGCTTTAGAATTGAATCTATGAATAGCTCTTGAACAAGGGTTTACCATATCTCTTTGTAGTATGAGTACAACAGAATTTTGGAGTGAAAGCAAATAGAACAGAGTTGGGTCTGGGTTTTGCCTAAACCCTAAACCCTGACTGGAAGAGCAATCTGCTAAATCCTAAACCCTCAACCCTAAGCTGTTGTTCATCCTTCAAGGCCCTCCGCCCAGTTTAGGAGAGCGACCGAGTAGCCACAATACTGGCCGATCAAAAGCATAGATTAAACTGCCAGGGAATCCTTAAGTGCCCATCTGAACACCTAAGACCCTACTCTTGCACAAGCCTAAGAGCCACACCTTCAGCCAACAACACCCTAAACCCTAAACCCCAAACCCTGAACAATTCACTGCCGAGGCCCTGGCAGCAGTCATCTCCTTGGTGTCCACTCCGTTGATGTCCACCACGCGCCAGCCAGGGCTAATCCCTTGCTTCCGCCACATCTTGTCCTGCGGTTTAGGGTTTGGGGGTTTGGGGGTTTAGGGTTTAAGTTTTAGGGGCTTAGGGTTTAGGGTTTAAATAAGACTTAGGGTTTAGGGTGTCGGATTGGACCTAAGATGGTTGTGGAACCTTCCAGGAGGGTTTACAGACTTACACACATAGGAGTTTCCAAAATCATGCCCTATACTCCCTAATGGATGGAGCCCTAAATCCTCTATAATCCCAAAGTATGTATAATGTATATATATATATATGTTGTATATATGTGTATATTTCAGATCCCAAGGGTACGCCCAGTTTGAAAAATCTCAAGTTTTGAAGGAAGTACGGGAGTTGACCACCTCTCCATTTGTGTCAAAATAGAGTGGCGAAGAAACGGTTTAGGGTTTAGGGGTTTAGGGTTTTGGGGTTTTGGGTTTAGGGGTTTAGGCTTTAGGGCTCAGGGTTTAGGATCCACGGGTTTAGGAAGAAACTAACTGGACATCACTTTACTTGGAGGGCCAAGCGGACTTAGGAAGTAGATGCATAGCGCCTATGATCCGTAGAGTAACCCTAGTTATCCCCATGGTTAACCTACTTATCAAGCCCCCCTGACCTTCCAAGTGGTATAGAAAGTCTCTCTTGTGGGAGGATATTGAAAATTATGGGGTGGGTGGAGTTGCGAAATATTTGTATGAAGGGGTTACTTTAAGCCATGTTGGGAGTATTTCCCATACAGACCGGCATTAGGGGTGAGGTCGGGCAAGGTCGTGATGATTCAGTCCGCGGGTACATGCTCGAAGATAGGGGGCCTCATGTTCCCCGAAACCAAAATCCCGTAGTCGCAAAGATGCCTCAGGGGACCAAATTTGAAGCATGTCTGTGCTTAACATCGCAAAAGTATCTGCTCAAGCCTACCTAGGACCCATTAAACCACTAACTAGGTTCCCCAGTAAACCCTAAATAATAAAGGTACCCTTTTTCATACTGTTTGTTTTAATAAGGAGACCCCAAATAAAAAAAAGGGTAAAAGGGCACCACTGGGGTACCTAGCTAAACTCCGAAACACGTTGTGCCTTTGAGTTGTCTTTCATGATCTTCGGAGGCATCTCGTCTTTGCTGTTAGCCAGCTCCAGGTTGTGCCTGCAAGTGCAGACGTAAGCCGTCACAGACTGGTATCTTAAGCCTTGTTCATGCACATGTATCTACATCTATATGCATATTGTATATATATATATATCCCTATATGTCTTGTAAGTATTCCTCGCAGACAGTGGCAGGCCAAAGTTCTACATGCATATGGCTTAGTGTTTGGTGGTGTTGGGGCAACAATTCTGATACATAACCCTAAGCCCTAAGCGCTGTGGCTCCCCGGAGACATACCTGCATGCAAGCCGAAGTGCGGCCCATTCAACAAGCGAACGTGGACTTCAATCTTGTCCTTCCTTCGAAAGACGAGCTTCAATGGCCTGTGAGCGAGACTCGCAGGCTTCTATCCTCCCCGAGACTAACATGTCCTGTGAAGAGGGCACTATAAGGGTTAGGGTCTAGGGTGGTGTAGGGATTAGGGAATTGCTTTGGGGAAGGGTGAACATCCTGGCCACGCATTGAAGTCTAAATCCAATAGGCATGCCACGTGTAGGATCCTGTAAACAGGGTTTAGGATCTAGGGATACCTTTGAATAGGGTCCCAAGAGCATGGGCTACATGCCTACACTGCAAAGGACACGACCTGAAATTTGCTTCGATATCCACCCACAAGTGTCTCTTACCGGGCATGCCACCATGATACTTCCTGTTTTGTGGGCTTGCTACTGGCTGGACTTCAGCATGTTCGCAGTATACAGATACTGAAAGACTGCGAGTTCGACACATACTTCCATTTACAGAGGCTGCCTCTACCATTTCTGACTACAATTTGCAGGTCTTGTTCATCTCCCAAAATACTATATAGTAGGTTCCATTTTGTTTTCCATTCTCCTTCTAATCCCCATATACTACATAGTCGTTTCCATTTTCTTTTCCATTATCCCTATGTAGCTTCACCTTCACTTTCACAGGCTTCCTTTGAACCGCTCCCGGGCCTGATTTTCTCTTTGTCGCATGTCCTCAGATCACGCGGTTTAGGGTTTAGGGTTTGGGGTTTAGGGTATCAAAAACAGGGATCCTAGAGAGAAAGACAACAGGCAGCAGCAGCGCACACCTTCGCGCAAACAAGCTTACACTTGGCCCTGGCCAAAAGTAGCATGGAAGCATTGTAAAGACTCTACTGAGTCTCTACTGTCCATTTTAAACGGGTGCTTCGTGGAGTTCAATGCTAAGTTGCGTGAGGGTGCAGTCGCGGAATGGAGAAACCCAATAGCAGTTCTGACATACTGCCTGCACAATGCCTCGTCTGCGCCGTCTTCTTTTCCATTCCTCAAGCCCTGTAACGGCTTCCATTTCTAAGCCCCAACCTTTACCTAGAACGCCGCAAAAGGTCCCAGGAGCCTAGCTCTAAACCCTACACTTACCCTAAACACTAAACCCCTAAACCCTAAATCCCTACACACTAAGTTCCTAAATCCTGCACCATAAAACAGCAAGGAGAGGTCCCAGCAGCTCTATGAATTCATTGGCCTTTGCCGGGCTCCAGGTGACGGTTTGTTGCTGGGGCTCCTCCTGGATTTAGGTTTTAGGGTTTGGGGTTTGGTTCAAGGTTTACGTTTTAGGGTTTAGGAATCAGGGTTTCGGGAGCCCAGCGTTTTTTTTTCAAAAGGGACTAGGGATAGTATAGCGTTAAATAAGATTATATAGGCGGGTTTATGAGGATCTTAATTATCGGGAGAATCAAATGGAAAAGACAACGGAACGTGAAATGGAAACTGGGAGATTGTCGCGAAAAATAGGGTCGAAGGTATATTTCCCGATTGTAAGTAGGGCACGCAGGAATGGAAAAGGATCCTACTGTGTTTTTGGCGAATATATTTGTTGTATATCTTTTTTTGTACCCCAAACCCTGAACCTATTGCCAGCAGCAACCAACATGCTCAGGTCTTAGGGTGTAGAACCTGGGAGAAGCAATGAAGTTGTCAGCTGTCAGCTCTACCAGGCTTGAGACCCAGAGCAGACTGGAGTCCCCTTAGTCCCACATAAAACAATATGTGGAGAATTCCTTAAGGTTCTACTATAATGTATCAATAATTCCTTAAGGTTCTACTATGATATGTCAACATTTCCTTAAGGTTTTACTATGATATGTCTATGTTTCCTTACGGTTCTACTCTAACAAAACTTAAGAGTAACTCCTAAGGAGACTCAGAGGGAAAGGCTCAAAGATGAGGACGAGTTTACAAATCTTCGCGCTCGCCCGAAACTTTGGGAAGTTTTGCATAATTGGGGGGGGCACCTAGGGACTATAAGAACCCCAACGGGTACATAGATCCTTTGTACGTCTTCTGTATAGGCATAATTTTAAAGAAATACTCACTTCATCGTTGTGCTGAGGCCAAATCGATTTGAAAGGCCTAGCCGTCTCACCATGCGGACCGCTGGTTGACTAGCGCGGCTCTTGCGTTATAGTAGAAACCTGACGAGTTACTGGGGATCCAATGTGTATTGTACCTTTAAATTTGCCTAGGTACGGTATAGGGACTCAGCACGACAGAGTCTTCCCGTCTTCAGGCTTGTACAAATACGTACAAATTCCAGGGTTGCGACACGCTCCACGTGTAATTCCAACAGAAGGCCCGACCAAAACCGCAGCGCAACGCAATGGCCTTTTTCTGAACAGCAACCAGCCAGTCACCAACGCCGATCCTGAGAGCAGGCTGTCAGAATTGCTCTCTTTGATCCAACACGGGGTAGCTTCGCTTCTGAAAATGGGGTACCTTCGGGATGCTTTGGCGACCCTAAGGATATATATATATATATATAGAGTGCGCCATATAGAGAGTATGAGGGGATTGTGTAGATCCCTCTTCAGGTGTCAGAATGGGGATCAATCTGTGAGATGCCCATTCTTCTCATAGAACATCTGCTGGTCCATTAATACAACTGGTATATGCCCGTATATAACCACCGCTACAACCCGGTAAACCTTCATATTCCATTTCGAAAGCCTTCTTCTCTGCACCTCTGAGCGGAGGAGCACACCGAGGTTGATTGAAACGAAGCAGCTCGGACTTTGTGGGACCCTGGGCTACGTATGAAAAGTTACAACAGGGTTATAGTAAAGTTATTAGGGGGATATACAATATATTACCTAACTCCAGGGTCCCTCAAAGCAGCCCCTCTTTATTGGCCACACTTCTTGCCGCGACTTCTTTTGTTGCCATCATGGTCATGACGAGTCTTCAATGGACCCCCCTCATTTTGAGATTTCCATGTATGTTGGAACCCTACACCTAAGTAAACCGCGTTGAAGAGAGCATGGAGCTCTCTGCGAAGACTTCCCCCCTGTTGGGCTTCGCCTAAGGCTCACTACCCACGGACACTGGCTCTCTGGGGACCACAAACAAGAAAGCGAAGGCAAGGCTTGCAATGGCATGGGGTGGCTTGACGCGATCGTTTGGGAGTTGATTAATCCCTTATCAGCCCACGGGACTGAACCTTATTTTCATGTGAGGAGCATTTCTGGCACTGCTCTCTCTAAACCCTACATCCTACACCCTAAACCGTCTTTTTATCTCTCTCTCTCTCTCTCTCTCTCTCTTTTTCTTTCATTCAGGGCTATAGGCGGGCTCGAAAGCCCTGCCGAGGCATTGCCTCGAGCCCGCAAGGTGACATGGGATTCCTTTCCGTGAGCTTTCAAGCTTTCCGGCTTGCCAGGACCTTTGCGTTCCAGCCCTCTTTTTGCACCTGCTGCTTTTTTGAGGGGGTGGGCCTGAGGCTTATGGTTCAGGGCTTGAGGTCTACGGATCATTGGCGAGACTGCATACCCTTCACACCTTACGCACGCCAAAACCAGCACGGAAGTCCTTTTTTGAAGCTACAGTAACCTTCATGGTTCAATTCTTGCGGTCAATGTCACTTTGGGGAATGGGAATCATGTTTTCTACGCCCTAAACCTCAACCCTAGTTATGAAGGCATTACTTGGAGGGTCAGGGGACTTGGTAAGTAGGTTAACAACCCCTATAACCCATATAATAACGCTACTTATCCCCATACTTCACCTACTTATTAAGTCCACCTGACCCTCCAAGTAAGCACCAAGGAGCTCCCTAAACCCAGCCAAGTCGCCCCTTGGCAGCAACCTGGCCCTTCTCGCTGCAAGCGGTAATCACCGGCGGAAAGCTCGTCTTATCCTCAGCAAACTGGGGGTTTTGCAGATCTTGCCTTGGTAAGGGCTTAGGGTAGGGGGGGGGTTGGTGTACCATGGGCTTTTGGTTGTACATGGCGACGCGCAAAGGTTAAGCAGCCTCCACCACGAGTTCGACATGAAAAGAAGTCTTGGTTTCTTTAATCAAAATCTGCTAGGGATACCCGAACCCTAAACCCTCAACCTGTTCCGGCACCACGACTAGGATTTTGCGAGACTTGTCTTCCTGGCGCTCAAAAAATTATCCTGAAAGGACACTTAACATGTACAAGCCCCAACAGCTAGGAAGATTACAGTTTCCGTATCAACGTCGCATATGTATATATATATATATACATATGTATGTGTATATATATATATAAATATTTGTAAGACACCGCACCCCTGTTCCCCACCAGAATCCCTTCATAATAATTTTAATACGTCCCCCCAACCCCTAACATTCGGCATGGCCCCAACTTAACAGTCTCTTTTGGAGAACATCTAATATCAGGGGGTGGTTGGGGGGGAGGAGAGTGTAAAGCCCCTAAACCCTGACTATGAAACGGTTAAGCACCCAGATGTTCCCTCTGACTGTATGGGGCGCTGGCATCGGCATTGAAGGCGATCTTGGCGGGCCTCAACACAAAGCGACTCTTCGGGTTTAGGGTAGGACCAGGGAAAGTAAAACTTACGCAGCAGCTGTACTAACTCTCGCAATAACAATACTTGGGGACGCATATGAGCTATAGACTAAACTCTTAGTATCCCCCTTAATAACCCCAATAGTAGTCCTCTGTATAATCCCCTATATAACCCCCCTTTAAGGAGTTTAGACTATAGCTCATATCTGTCTTTCAGGTGTTTGCGCGAAGCGGGCGAACTACCCTGGACCTTCCAGAGGGGGGAGGCCAGACGATCAGAATTCAGGGTTCCTTGCCCCACCACTGCTCCCTAAACCCCAGGGGTTTAGGGTTTAGGGTTTGGGGTTTAGGGTTTAGGGAACCCTAAACCCTAAAGAGAGTCTGGAGGGACACCAAACCGGGACTAATCCTGACCAATGCGGGCAAAATGCTGGTTGCCCAAGGTGATCTCGACATAGGCTCCGCCTCCCGGGTGGGCACTACCCCAAGTGTGCAAGACAGGAGCCTAAATAACCACAGACAAGTATCATTCTGAGGTCTATTTGGGGAAACTCTTTAGGAGGACCCCCCACCCTGTAATAGTGGTATAATAAGAATATGAGAGGACCCTAATATAATCTCTATTATCCCTTATAGTCACTATTACTGGGTGGGGTCCACCTAATAAATCCTTCTCCCCGAAGCTCTGGAGCGACTTGAGCTCGGCTCTGCAGTCAGCGAGGCTTTTCGAAGCCCTACTCGGAGGATCAGGCGCACTTAAGAAGTAGGCAAATGATGGAAAAATGGAACCTACCATGGTACTTTATGTTTAGGGGGACTTTAGAAGTGGGCTAATAATGGGGATAGCTAGGGTTTCTGTTTTACTCTATGGATTGTATGGGCTCTCCACTCACTTGCTGAGCCCTCCTGACCTAAACCCTAAACCCTAAACTTGCTAAGTCGTCCTGACCCTCCCAGCAAGCATGCAGTTGAAGCCTTCGTCGTCGGCATCGCTCACAACCATGCCTTCATTGCGGTCGCCATCTTCACCTGAAACCCTAAACCCTAAACCTTATACCCTAAACCCTACACCCTATGTCCTTAACCCTAAGCCCTAAACAACATCGTCACGCTTGCGTCAATGCAGGCTGCGCGCCAACCACTTCAGGTGTCGCTGTTACAGACTTGGCGTACAACTCACATGGAGATTTCCAAAATAGGAATCCCTTACAAGAGTGGGGCCCCGGAGCCATGGACCCCCACCCCATATGTATACTGCGGCCAGGGCACTGTCAGAGTACTTGTCGCGGGCTTCTGTTGCGCGCCTTGTATGCTAGCTCTCGCAGAAGGCCGGTCCTAGACGGGAGCTTCCTAAGCCCTAAGCCCTAAACCGAACTAGAGGGCCCAACGTGACCCACGAGATATATGGGAGTTTCCTAAAATTAGGGGTACCATTTTGGGGGTCCCAATAATAAGGACAATAATATTTTGGGGTCGATATTGGGCACCCTTCTGCAGTCTAAACTTCTAGTATCTCCCTGAAATCACCCCGAAAGTGGCCCCCTATATAATCCCCTAGGCTATGGCTCATATAGGTATTGTAGTCTTAAGGGAACCCTGATCCCTAAACCCCAAACCCTAAACCCTATTAGCATCCAAGGCTCTTTGCCTTTTCCGGATCCGTCACCCAAGGCAAATGCCTTGGTGAGCTGCGCATTCTTGGAACTTCCCTTCTTAGAGGTTTAGGGTTTAGGGTTCAGGGTTTAGGGTTTAGGGTTTAGGGGGTCCAGAGGTTATAAAGAGATTATAGGTTCAGGGTCTAGGGGTCCAGAGGGTTACAACAAATATAGGTCTAGGGTTTAGGGCCAGGGGCCAGAGGGCTAGAGACTTTAACAGGATATATCAGGGGATAATATAGGGTTCTGTCTAGGTGTTATATAGGGACTTTTTTCCAGCTGTAGATACTTTGCCCCCAGCTGACCTGGAACTTCCCATAAAGCCATGCTAGAAAGGAGAAGAATCCCTCTAAAACCCACGAGCATTTGTTGGAAAACAGTTGATGCGCAGGCTACCGATTGAGGGTTTTCAATAGGAGGAGTACTAAGAGGCTCAGTAGCTGTTTAAATCAAATTCAAAAGAAGTTGCTCTCTGGAATCCCCATAATATCCGCCCGGAAAATTCTGGATAAATCAACACCCCCCCAAACATTCTCATTATTGACGACCTGGGTAGTTGTTGGGCTATGCCCTTGCAAAAAGGATTGCCTGGCCTCCTCGAGTACGGCGAAGCGGTTTAACAAGAAAATCGACAATTTCGGACCTGACCTGAAACCTGAAATCCTGAGGCTTGAAATCTTGGAAGCTTTGTATTCACCCATAGCGCCAACAAGAGCAGGTAGGATTCGGGCCTAAGTACCGTACATGATGCTAACAGGAACTCCAAAATAAGGATCCGAATTATGAAGAGTCACGCCAATCCGCATGCACCAATTCTTATGAGCTATAGTCTAAACTCCTAGTATCCCCCTAGAATACTCCTCTATATAATCCCCCATATAACCACCCTTTGAGGAGTTTAGACTATGACTCCTGTACTGAGTAGGGCACTCAGCCAGGCCAATGCGACCCTCCGCAAGTAGGCTGTTTGCGGCATCCTCGGCGCTGTCCTTGAGGCTAGGGATAATTTTGCTGGGGGTTCGTAAGGAATAAGGGAATAGGTTCTACAGGGATTATGTAGGGGTTGCTTTCCATACTTGCCTACTAACCACCAGTAAGTCATAGGTTTGAGGGTCTAGGGGTTCAGAGTTCGGGGTGTAGGGGGTTTACGAGTTGAGGGGTTTCTGGTGGGGTTCGGAGCCCAGTCGCGGGTAGAGGCCCGTTCTAAGGCGGGTACCCCGCCAGTCCTTTCCTGCTCCCATCTGCAAACTAGCTTCTTGCCATAAATAGGGTTTCAAGCTTTGGGTTGCGGGCGTCAGGTTTGAGGTGGATAGGACTTGGGGGCTGCGAACGCGCCTCAGCCTTTCCTGGGGTATAGGGAACATAGAAGGCATGTCTAGTCAGGGCATGATAGGGATCATGCGGGAATTATGCTGGGAACATTCCCTATTGACCATGCAGCCCCAGAAATGTCAGAACAGACTTCTGCCCTTCGAGGGGTTCTACACAACACTGCCTCGGCTGCGTTTACTCGAGGTGAGAATAACAAGAATGCTAGCCGACAGGGTCTGCAACCATATTCGTGCCCAGATGTGCCCAGGGTTCTTAACCTGTCTTTTTGCCGGTAAAAGACGTTTCCTAATCTTGAACCCGGAAGTTCAAAGATGCTGTGGTAACCAAAGAAATACACAGCTGCGCAGAATCTGCTTGCTCAACCCGGAGGAAACCCAGCCGAGCATCCCTCAGGCGGAAACGAAGGTCAGGCTCGTAGACCGGAAGCTTTGGCAGAAGTGCGGCCTCAGTGCGCGGTGCACTTGATAAACATCACCCCGAAACCACCCCGACACCACCCCGACACCACCTGAAAGCATCGAAACCAGAGGGCGCTCTAGTACAGAATAGCACAGCGATCATGTGAAGCTACTGAATGCTGCAGGGTTGCCAGATGGACAACGTTGAGAAACTCATAGCCTGTACGCCCGCTGGCGGTCCACTTCTTGTTGGTGTCTTTGTCGTGCAGGCGAAAGTCCGGCTTCTTCTGAAACTCCACCCACTGGCTCATCTCTTGGATGGCATCGCTCCCTTCAGCCATGTGTAGACCCTCCATACCCGTCTTGGTGTCCTTCTCCTTTTCCTTGTCCTTCTGTTTTCCTTCCTTGGCCTTGGGCTTCTCTTCCTCCTTTACCTCCGCAACAACAACCGCTTCGGGCACTTGCCCCTTCTTGCCCTTTCCCTTGCCCTCCTTGCCTTTGCCTTTCCCGTCCTTGCCCTTCCCCTCCTTGCCTTTGCCCTTGCCTGCCTCAGGAGCTGCAACAGCCTTGGCCTTGGCCTTGGCTTTGGCCTTTGGTTCAGGTTTGTTTGGATCGGGCTTGACAGATGGCACCACCACCTCCAAGACAGGTTCGCCTTTCAGCTCCTCATTCAAGGTAATGTTGCGGAGGCCCACGATACTTACGGAGACCAAGCAGGGCTTGCCAGGGGGCTTCATCAGCTTCGGCGGGAAGTCTGAAGCATACCTCAATGTGGATACGATTCAAAATCTTGTTTTGTATTCCTCATTGGGCTTAGCACACACGACTTTGCAGTTCTCATTGGGCTAAACATCACAAAACATCAGAAAAAGGGATTTCAGAAACCCGAAACCTTATAAATCCCTATAGAAAACCTATATACCCCTATTACAAGGGACCCAAGGAGGTCAACCTGAACCCAAAACCCAAAACCCTGGACACGAAACCCTAAACCCTTTAAACCTCAAACCCTGAACCCAAAACCCTGAACCCAAAACCTTTGAAACTCTAAACCTTGAACCCTTTCAACCCTAGACCCTAAACCCTACAAACCCTAAATCCTCGACCCAGATACTTGGCTCTCATCATCTCGAATCCTATCATGATGTCCCCAGCCCAGCCGGTAGCCATAACACCTGAGACTTTAGGTTTCGGGTTTAGGGTTTAGGGTTGCTTTATGGGGTTTAGGGTTGGTTTACAGGGTTTAGGGTTGGTTTATGGGAGGGTTCAGGGTTAAGGGTGGTTTATAGGATGTGGGGTTGGTCTATATGGTTTCGAGTTTCGGGTCTAGAGCTTGTTTGAAAGGGTTGAGGGACTAGGGTTTGCTTTACGAGGGGGTTTCGTTGGCTACAGCCCCCCAAATTTTGGACCTTGTAACTCTCACATGACTCTAAGAGGGTCTCTATTTTCCCGGTTGGGGTGGCCAAGAAATTATCTCAAGATGTTTCCCGACATGAGGGAAGCTAACCAAAGGGTTTAGGGCTTAGGGACTACTAGGATCAGGAGACCCACGTTCAGGAGGATAATTTTTTGACCACCCCCACCACCGAGTGCCAGAGATTCACATAGTAGTCTGGATATAAGGGTGCTTAACATGAGCGTGAAGTGAATTCCTAATCGTGCGTAATCTATGTAGGTTTTTGTGGTTCACGGTTATAGTCCCCTTAAAGTAGATAGAATGTAACTTTGGATATAGTATAATGAGATCCCCATATAACCCATATTCCATCTGCTTAAAGGGGACTATAGGGGACCCCCCCCCGCCTCCCTTCAGCTTCAGCCAGCGCTGTCGCATCTTATATGTCGTCAGCGGGTGGAGCAGCTTCCTGGGTAGCTGCTCATGAAGCCAAGTAAAAATCAGCGAGAAAAGCTATGTGGGCTGTTCTCAAAAATGCGGGCCCCGTTTGGTGATATATTATAGGTACTGTACTAGAATGGGACTAGGATGTCAAGGACTAAACGCCAAACCCTGAAACTTATTCTAACTTAAAGCTGAGTCTGCCCTGGAACGCTCTCAAGAATAAATCTTAGCTGTTTATATGCATAAAGTAGAAAGATATTCACAACACCCCTAGTTAAGCTCAGAATAGCAATCCAAGCTTCAAACCCTAAACCCTCAACCATCAACAGCCATGAGCCCTCAAGCGTCCTCAGCCCTAAACCCTCAATAGACCCTGAACTCTAAAACCTAAACCTTGGGAACTGCCCCCCACGCAGTAGCAGTCTATACTATAGGGGTCCTATTAAGGGCTATATATAACCATACTACATTTGTTATCCAATTTTTAGTGTGGGGGCGCAGTACCGACCCTAAATCTTCAATAGCAACCCAAGCTTCCTGAAGTTGATCTTCTGCCTCCCGATCACTCGCCGACCGCCCTTGACCTCTCCGAGGCGTTTGGCGGCCATCCTAAGAAGCTGCCTTTTAAGGATCAAAAGGGTTAGGGTTCAGGGGTTTTACGGTTATGTAGGGGGTGTGTATAGGGATAGGTAAGGTTTGCCGGGTTTTCGGTTAGTAAAGGTGTTGTTTAAGGCATCGCAGGTGTATATAGGGATATATAGGTTACCCCAATAATGGACAATCAAATGGAAAACAAAACGGAACATGAAACGGGTATTATGGAGGGCTCATGGGGGATTAGAGTTTCCAAAGCAAAAATGGCCCCTTTCCGGGAGTCCCTGTGTAAGGATAGCAATATATAGGGTTTCATGTTGAAGCTATGGAACCTCCCGACTTAGCGCTGAGGAGGTAAACCCTCAACCCCAAGGGGCTGGGGATTTGGGGGCTTGAGGCTTGGAGACACTCCCTAAACTATGCCTGGCTTGGAGATTCAGAGTGTAGGCCTTAAGAGGCTGAGGGGTTAGGTGTAGAGATTGAGGAGGCGATAGTTGACGGTGTAGAGGTTTAGCGATTTGGGGTTCTAGGGTTCCGCATGAGCGTCTGCTTTAACTTGATGGTTGCCTACTAATCGTAACATTGAGGTATCGCTTTTCAGGTTTCCGACTGCTAAAATGAGAATTGCTGGTGATTTATTTCTTCACGGTTTAAGCGCCCGCTTACATGCATCCACCCGGGGGCTCCTTGAAGGGCGAAGCTTGCTTGTGGTGGAAATGTAGCGATATAAAACACCTAAACCCTAAATCCTATGATATAATAGTTTCCATCCTATTCACCATCATCCCAACATAACCCCTATGTAATCCCTAGAGATTGCAAGGGTTACGATCCCTCTTAAGCTTAAGCAAGGAAGTCCTAAAACTGAAGCCACTAAAAACTCCAAACTGGGTTATATGGGGATAATAGAGAAGAAAGTGGAAACTATAGGGAGTACAAGGGTTATGTAGGGATTATTATAGGGTGTATATATATGTATCTATATATCTATATATATATATTGGGGCTATATGACAGCCAGGGCTCACGTCACCCATCATGGTGGCGAGGGCTTGGTCCTTGACATAGCCGGAGTACTCCTCCCCCATTTTTGCCTTGCAGATGATCACATGGACATTTCTCAGAGTGGGGGGTCAATAGAGAAAGAATCCAACTTCGTGGGAAATTCTTGCACTCGAGGCCTGAACATTCTTCTGGGTTGCTGTTTCGGGACCTTGCTTAGGTTACAATAGTGAGGAAACACTTTTATTTACTATATATCCAGAATATGGTAACTGAATTTAAGTTCCTTCACAGCAACCCAGTGTTTGGGGTTTGAGGCCTAGGATTTAACCTTCTAGTCTGAACAAACACATGAAGGATCGCGCTTCGAACCCTGTCAGATTCAGGTATTCGGGCTACGGCAGGGGCCACAAGACTTCGCCAGGCTTTTGTTTCAGGCCATCTGGACTGTGCCCAAATGATTCATCCGGGCCGTTACGCTACAAGATGTCGCCGATTGAAGCTCCTTCTTTTGCTCCGCCCGAAACCTAGATCCCAAACTGACACCAAGTCTAAACCCTAAATGGTAGTTTCCATTCTCTTTTCCATTATCCTTGTATAACCCCTATATAGCCCCATCTACCTACGTAACCCTGTAGAATCCCCTATAGAACACACAGGAACGAGTGGCAAAGTCCACTTCAGCCAGCCCCGCTTCGTCATTGAAGTCCAGGGATCCATCTTTGTTGTTGATGAGCTGGCCAGCCATTGCACTAGATGCCACCTCAAGGGTTTAGGGTTTAGGGTTGAGGGGTCTATAGTCCCCCTTAAGTAGATAGAATATGGGATATATATTGTTGGGGTTATACTGGGATAATGGAAAAATGGAAAC